AACTTCTTAGAGGATTCTCCTTCCGAAGTAAGACTAAGAAATTGTCCTCAGTATCCTTGAATACTTTCTCAAAATAATCCAAAGTTTCCATATTCCACGAGTAGAGGGAGTAGTAAGAACGAATCACTCAAAAATTAAAATCCAAACTAGATCAAAATGAGGTAAAACGTTTACAAACCCCATGAAACATGGGCAGTTTCTCAGTTCTCTCACGTGCGATCAGACAAGCCAGTTCATTATATTATCCAATTACAAGTGACCAAATGTCGTTTTATAATATTTCCCCCCGAAAAAAGAATGCAAATTTAAAAAAATAAAAATATGGCTGACGTTTGAAGGTGGTGTCAGAAGAAACGTGTTAGAATTTGACCCTTATCTTATTCTTAACTCAAATGGACCAAGGGTGGCCCATTGGTTTGCGTGCCGGACTGTGGAACTAAGTTTCCGTGATTTGCACCTCATTATAACCTACCACCCCCCACCCCAGAAAAGCACTCTGCAGTTTCGGGTAGCGAGTGCGTTATAAGATTGACGATGAAATCCCATTGTTCAGTCTGACAAGAGTAGTCCAAGAGTTCACAGTAACTGGAGTTAACCAGTTGCCCTATCTCTTGTCTATAACTTCAAAATTAGAAGCCCCCCCCTCAGTGGCACAGCGGTATGTACGAGGACTTACAACGCTAGAATCCGGGTTTCGATACCCGTGGTTGGCAGAGCACAGATAGCCCATTGTGTAGCTTTGTGCTTAATTACAAACAAATAAAATAACAAAATTAGAAACAATTAGTGCAAATTAACCTCGCGTAACTTTGCGCGAAATCAATCAAACAAACAAAAAACAATACAAACATTTTATCTTAATCTATTTTTGTACAAAATAAACTAAAGATAATAAGTTAATATCGAAATTAAAAATCTAAACAGACTGCCAATATGTTTTGGAAAATAATTACAAATCTTAAAACTGAGTATCATAAACATAGCACCGTATTCTAGTTTAATGCAAATTATATTTACAAATTAATGATATATAATATTAAAATTATTAAAAAATTTTGAAGGATTGTCACAGCCCCTTTTTTCCGAATAACTAGTACAACTGTAGCAGAAAGCTTGTGACATTTACCAAGTTAAACTGATTACGTGACAAACTTTTAGATAGAATAACCTACGAATAATAGCAGGTTCAGTTCATGAATTTATAAGGATTGTATGAACATTCTCCTTAGTGTGAAAATAACGAGACTGGATACGTGATAAACAATGCACGAACTCTTTATTTGAACAACAACAACAAAGAAAAAAAATGGCGCGTATCCACTTGGATGAGATGACAGTCTATTTTCGCTCCTAGCTTGTGTTTAGCTTTGCTGCGTCTACTCACTCGGGATTAAAAACCAAAACCAAACACGTAATCTGCAATTTATTGCAATTTTCATTTTTATTTTGTTGAAGTTTTTCTCTCTCTCTCTCTGAGTTTAGGTTTTCTTTCCAACGTAAATGATACTTGATCTATTTTAATAGTTCTAGTAGTTTCCGCCAAGAACAAAGTTTATTCTATGTTTTTAGCTTTCCATGGAGAAAATAATCTGAAAACGCTCTTGTCGTTGATTAGAAAAGTAATATATCTGAGCTCATTCCTGTAATCAGAATTTAATTTATTTTTAGTTATATAAACACTCATTGTAATGTTAAGATTATCTATTCTACTTCTAAAATTAATATGTTTACTGAGTAAAGTATCATATGAAAACAACAACAACAATAGGCTATTCCATATGCTTCAACTTGTTTCAAGACAATCATATGACTTCATCAATTTTGTGAAACCCTTTAAACCAAGGCTTAACCATAATTCACAAACCTTCATCTAAACACTTTTATAACAGTATCTATCTAAATATCCTCTTAACAGATTCTATGTAAAGATTGTTTTAACAGTATCTATCTAAATCTCCTCTTAACAGATTCTATGTAAAGATGCTTTTTAACAGTATCTATCTAAAGCTTTTTTTAAAGTGTCATGATATAAAATACTGTTTAGTTTAGATATTATTGATTAATTTATTTTTGTGAGTGAATATTTTTTATTGTTAATTTTTTGTTATAATAAGAGTTAAAAGCAGACGATTGCAGGAAGTTGTGCTTATAATTTATTGATGTTGAGATTATTGAACGTCGCGTGCAATACATTTGCGTCGATAATATAGAGATTTCTAGAAGTCTGACAGACGATTATGTGATAAACCTATAAATAGTGTGAAA